CGGGTTCCGGCAATCCACTCACCTCAGCCTCCCCAAAGGCGTGGGATTACAGGGTGAGCCATCGAGCCCGGCTAGTAATTATTGTTTTATCCAAAAAAGTAAGTACAAAGAAGACGAAAGCTGAAGAAAGTCGTGAGATTCAGGTATATATTTTCCTACCATATATATATATATATATATATATATATATATATATATATATATTTTTTTTTTTTTTTTTTTTTTTTGAGTTGGAGTCAGTCACCCAGGCTAGAGGGTAATGGCATGCTCCCGGCCACTGCAGCCTTGACCTGCTGGGCTCAGGTGATCCTTCTGACTCAGCCTTCCAAGTAGCTGGAGCTATAGGCATGCGCCACCATGCCCAGCTAATTATTTGATTTATTGTAGAGATAAGTTCTCACCAAGTTGCCTAGGCTGGTCTGGAACCCACGGGCTCAGGCAATCCTACCATATATCTTATTTTTAGTTTGAGGACATTTGCTCTTATAGGAATGTTAACGATGTATTACCATTTTCGGCAAACAGAACATTTAAAGTTAGAGGAAGCAAATCATACACTTCCTGTCACTGTGATTCAAGTTACAGATGTCACTGAAAAACTGTGTTTTTTCTTTTTTAAATATCTGAACACAATCTCTTATACATTCTTGACATGCAAGCCCCCATAAAAGGATATCTTTGAAGGAAGAGATAGATATTTCAACCTAACTGGATACTTTCTGTGAGAGAAAAAAAATCTAGCCTCTGAAATTTTAAGTACTTATGACTTTAAATTTTTGTATTTGGAGAGAGGAATATAAAATCTATTTCTTATTCTTTCCATGTATTAACAACTCCATTTTCCTTGTGTATATGAGGTTAATGTCAAGAGATACTGGAATCTGTTTTCTATGAAATAAAGACAGAATGAAGTTTCTGTAGTATATCTTTTGTCTTATTCTATTTTTAAAATCTAAATACAGCCGGGCTCCGTGGCTCAGCCTGTAATCCCAGCGCTTTGGGAGGCTGAGATGAGTGGACTGCCTGAGCCGACAGGTTCGAGACCCGCCTGGGCAATTTGGCGAGACCTCATCTCTACAATAAATCAAAAAATCAGCTGGGTATGGTAGCACGTGCCTGTAGTTCCAGCTACTCGGAAGGCTGAGGTGGAAGGATCGTCAGAGCCCAGCATGTTGAGGCTGCGGTGGCCGGGAGTGGCCACTGCACTCCATTCTGGGCGATGGAGTGAGACTCCAACTCAAAAAAAAAAAACCAAAAATCTAAATACTTATCCACATGCATCCTATAGTATCAATTTCACTACATTATTGCAAGATCATATGCCAAGGCCTCTTAGGTGGACATCAGAGTCACTTAGTAAATTACCGTATAAGTGTTTTGCTCCCTTCTTCCCAGACTTTCTTTTAAAAACTACATCAATTTATGGCTGGGTGGTGGCTCAAGCCTATAACCCCAGTCCTTTGGGAGGTTAAGGCGAGAGGACTGCCTGAGCCCACAGGTTTGAGAGCAGCCTGGTCAACTTGGTGAGACCTCATCTCTACAATAAATCAAAAAATTAGCCAGGCGTGGTAGCACACACCTGTAGTTCCGGCTGCTTGTAAGGCTGAATTGGAAGGATCATCTGAGCCCAGCAGGTCGACACTGGAGTACCTGTGAGTATGCCATTGCACTCCAGCCTAGGCAATGGAGTGCGACTCCAACTCAAAAAAAAAAACAAAACAAAACGAAAAAAACACAACCAAATACCACATCAACTAATGGTCCACTGTGAAATACCATACTTGACTTTCAGGAATTATGCTGTGCTCTACTGATATTCTCAAGTTAATTGCATTACTGTCATTTTTTTTCTTGTGTCTCTTTACTTTTCTAGGTCTACTGTTTAAAAGAAGCACTATGCTGCTACCCACCAAAGAAAGGCTAAAGTACATTCACAAGATACTCACAGAAGTAAGACCATACTTCCAATTAGTTCGCAATCTTGATTTCCAGTGAAGATATTTCTCATTTTAAATCTAACTTTAATTAGTAGAATTCATAAATAATTACTAAAAAATTGATTTATAATCATCTAATACTTTACCAAGTACTTAGAGATAATCTAACACCAAAATGTAGTATAGTAGTCTTTCACTTTTTTTTTTAATTGGAGTCTCACTCTGTCGCCAAGACTGGAGTGCAGTGGCTGCTCCCGACCACCGCAGCCTTGACCTGCTGGGCTCTGGCGATCCTTCCACCTCAGCCTTCCAATTAGCCGAAATTACAGGCATGCGCTACCATGTCCGGCTGATTTTTTGATTTATTGGAGAGATGAGGTCTCGCTGCCCAGGCGGGTCTCGAATCCGCGGGCTCAGGCAATCCACTCACCTCAGCCTCCCAAGGCGCGGGATTATAGGCTGAGCCACCGAACCCAGCTGGTTGATTTTTTTTGGTTTTTTTTTTGTTGTTTTTTTTTTTGTGGCAAAGAGGTACTGCTGGTTCTCCTAGGTTGGTCTCAAACTTCCTGGGCTCAAGCGATCCTCCAGCCTTGGTCTCCCAAAGTGCTGTAATTATAGGCATAAGCCACTACACCCAGCGGTAGGGTTGACTTTTGTGTTGAGTGAAGTAGGGGTCAGCTTTATTTTTTTTTCCCATATGAATAACCAGTTGTTTCAGAACAACTTTTTGAATAATTTGTTCTTATGTCATGATTAGTTATCTCATCTGCAAAATACCAAGTCTTCATACATAGGTGGATTTTTTTTTCTGGCCTCCCTTCTGGTCCATTGGTCTATTTGTTTGTCCCTGTGCTAACAGAACAATAATTTAATTTTTATAACTTAATACTACAGTTTGATGTCTTATAGGTTATGGGTCTACCCCATCTTGTTTATCAAAATTGTCTTGGCTTTTCTGGCCCTGTGCTCTTTCATATTAATTTCAAAATTTAGGATCATCCTACTAAATTCCATGAAATTCCCTACTGATAGTTTTATTTCCTCCATAAGACTCATGAACATCTTTATTTAGAAGTATTCTAAATAAATTACATTTTTTTGCTGTTGTGACTGGCATCATTTTGAAATGTAACTTTTCTGTTTCTGGCTGGTGTAAAAGATACAGCTAATTTTTATAATTCTTATGTCCAACAACATCAGTGAATACCTTTTGTATAAAGTTCCAATAGTTTGCCTGTAGAAGAGTTGATTTTCCATATAATCAGTTTATTATCTGCACTCTTGTTTCTTCTTTTTAAATCCTTATCCTTTTCTTTCTTTTGCTTGTTTTAGAGGGAAT